TGGGAGTGTTAAAGTATATATGAAATGTGTATTATATAACTTCAAAAATCCTAAAAATTCTGAATTCTGAGTCATGGCTGTCTGGGTCAAAATGATGTTTGGTAAGCAGCTGCGAACAAGAATTTGATAATTTCCTCTCTGAAATACCTCTATAATTTGAGTTAGTTTCCAAGTATAAGGTTCTTTTTTTAAAGCTTGATGTCAGGGGCACCTGGGTGGCTCAATGGGTTAAAGCCTCTGCCTTCAGCTCAGGTCATGATCCCAGGGTCCTGGGATTGAACCCCACAGAGGGCTTTCTGCTCAGCGGGGAGCCTGCTTCCCCCTCTCTCTCTACTTCCCTCTCTGCCTGCTTGTGATCTCTGTCAAATAAATAAAATCTTTAAAAAACAAAACAAAACTTGATGTCAAGTATGCTATTTTGGGTGGAGTGAAGCTTTGTATACAGGAATGAGAAGAGGGGTACCTGGCTGGCTTAGTCAGTAGAGCATGCAAGTTGTGAGTTCAAGCCCCATGCCCCATGTTGGGTGTAGAGGTTACCGGGGGTGTGTGTGGGGGGAAGGAATGGGAAGAAATAAGAAAAGTGAAAGTAGAAAAGTGAACTGGGGCCAGATTGAAAGGGACTGTAAAGATTTAAGGGGTTTTATTTTATTCTGCAGGCAATATTAAGACCAGGCAATTCATCTAGTTTGGGGCCTCAGCCTTTGTCTCACAGCTTTTATATTTACTTGATCCCTGTCTGTACTGTCTATAATAGGTAAGCACCTCTAATCATGCATCTTCACTTCACCTCTTCTTACTACTTGGTGTTGTATATTTCCCAATTCTGAACTTTCAGGTCTTCTGTAATCCTTTCTATTCCGTACTGCACTTGATAAATTGTCCTCAGTTAGAGAACTGGGATAGATGTGGAACTCAGTTGTGTGTTTCCTTTGTCTTAGGGATTTTCATCTTGTACTGCCTGGAAATAGTTACTGTATATATATATATACATACATATATAATAGTTACTGTATATATATATATATATATACATATATATATATATATATATATATTTTAATCAGAAAGAGTGTGAGCACAAGCAGGGGAGCAGCAGGCAGAGGGAGAAGCAGGCTCCCCACTGAGCAAGGAGCCCGATGCTGGACTTGATGCCAGGACCTTAGGATCATGACCTGAGCCAAAGGCAGCCACTTAATAGGCTGAGCCACCCAAGCATCCCACTGTGTATGTTTTGTCCTGTTTTATAGTTGTTTATGGTGGGAAGGCAAGTCTAGTACCAGTCATTCTGTCAAGGAAGCAGAAGTCTCTTACTCCTTTGGGACATATGCCATTTGTCTGTTTTCTCATTGATATCACTCTCCAGGTTATTTATGCTCGTTTATAGATGACTTTGTTTTATGGTTTATACCCTTCCTCTCCGTTTTAAAATCCTGTCACCATTCTAGGTGACTTCAGTGCTTGTGTGAGTAACTCACCAAGTAGTCTGTCGTGAGGTGATTCCTCTTTAGCCTCCCACTTGGATCAACATATGGTGGCCGTTATTAATCACCAGAAAGAGCTCTACCTCTGAAATCTTAGAAAGCAGGTATCCTACTTGCTGACCATCTGCTTCTTTCATTCAGTCAGTCACACTGTACCTGCTCCTTGACTTCTCAGTCTCCTGACTCCTTTGCTTTCTATTTCTTCTCTTTTGTTGTCACTTACCTATGCAGTTTAGAGTTGGTCTAGCTTAGAATCCACAGTCCATCACTTCAGCTACTCTGCTGCCAGTATCCTTAACTCCTTTCTGTTGCACTGACCTGACAAAATTGAAATCTTGGATCAGAGATGCTTCTTGGTTTTTCAGTGTTTATATCTTGGTTACTGAATGCTATTAGAGAAAATCCCAAACCTGTAAATTTAACTTCCCAGCAGTTCCTCAGAATAGCCTTCTCATTGCGTGTGCCCAGTGGCTCTTTCAGAACTTGCCCAGTCTGCTGGAACTTCTGATCTTGTCCCTTTTGCCTTTCTCTTTCAGCATCTCCCATTTCACGTAAAGGACATCATATTGCTTTTCATCCTCATTACTGAATCTACAGCTTAAGTGCATTCTCATCCATGTATTCTTTCTCTCTGGTATTTGGGAAGAGATATCTCCGGCTCTTATAACTACTTCTCCTTTTAGGCTTTGAAACCCAGCTACTGCTAACTTCTCTAGGACATTATTAACTCAACTTAGCTCTTCTCTTCTATGTCTTTTTCTCTTATCTCCTTCTATGCTGTCAATATTTAAATATGAATAGGTTTTCCTAAACATTTTTGGTCATTATCTCCCTCCAGCCACCACCTTAGCCTGTTGTTCCTTTAAAAAGAGAATTATCCATATTACCAATTTACTTCTTTTAGTGGGGGAGGGGCAGAGAGAGGGAAAGAGAATCTCAGGCAGACTCCCTGCTGAGTGCGAAAGCCTGGCATGGGGCTGGATTTCATGACCCTGAGACCATGACGTGAGCCGAAACCAAGAGTCAGATGCTTAACTGACTGAGCCACCTAGGCATCCCCCAATTTCACTTTTTTATTTTTAGTTCACTCTTCATCAATCCACTGCATTCCATTGGCATTCTACTAAAACTGCTTTTGCCAGTCCACCAGTGCCTTTTTTTGTTGCTAAAACTTCTCATTCTCTCACTTAAATTTAAAAATAATTTGATCATGTTAACTACTTCATCCTTGTTGAATTTTTTTTTTTTACCTTGACAGCCTTTATGACTTGATTCTTTTTCTTTGTAATTTTATTTATTTATTTGAGATAGAGAGCCAGTGTGCACATGGCGGGGTGGGGGTTTCGCGTGGGCAGAGGGAGAGGGGGAAGCCAATTCTCCACTGAGCAGGGAGTCTGATGCGGGGCTTTATCCTGAAACCCTGGGATCATGACCTGAGCTGAAGGCAGATGTTTAACCATCTAAGTCACCCAGGCACCCCGCCCCTATGACTTGATTCTTATTTTTTTGGTCTCTCTACCCCCCAGCTCTTCTAATTACTAGATTTCTCTTGCTCTGCTTATTTCCTAAATGTCTCTCTTTTTTGTCATTCTACAGCTCCTCCCTGGTCACTTCATTTATTCCCATGATTTCAATGATCTTTATGTGATAATCCCCCAATTTTTTTTCCTTACCTCATATTCTCTGCAGAGATTTAAACTACCCAATATTTAACTGCTCATGAAATTTTTCTACTTGCTCTGTTGTTTTTATTAAGATTTATTTATTTTAGAGAGAGAAAGAGTGAGTGTGAGAATGGGCAGAAGGAGAGGGAGGGGGAGAGTCTCAGCAGACACTGAGTGAAGATCCTGGGCTCAATCCCAGGACCCTGAGACCATGACCTGAGCTGAAATCAGGAGTCAGATGCTCAACCAACTGACCTACCCAGGTAACCCCGCTGCACGCCATATTTTAAGATACTTGAAATTTAGCGTGTCCAAAGAGAAGTGATTTTTTACCTATCCCTTCTGCTCACATTAACCAACAACTTAGTCCTCTTAATTCTTCCTCTTAAATGTTTTCAAGACTATCAGCTTTTTTATCTCTAAGTCTCTTCTCTATATAAGCTATCTTTGACTCCTGTAGATTTTTTTCAGCTTTCTAATTAGCCTGCATGTTTCCAGTTTAGGCTATTCTCCATATTGTGGCCCGAGTTGTCCTTTGATTATAAAGTCTAGCAATACATCTCTCCTTAAAACTTCTAAAATTCCTAAAATCTTAAAAATTATTCATTGCCTTCAGGGTATTACTCAAGACTTTAAGTGGTAGATGACAGAAACTAAACTCATACTACATTGGCAAAGAGTGGAATCATTGGAAGGTTATTTAAGTGTAGAAGGAACAGGAGTGTAGCTAGGCCTCAGAGACTGGTAGAACCTGGATTTAAAATACAACCGATTAAGTTCTTCACTTCCTTTTTTCTCTTTCTGTGGACTGGCTTCATTCTCTTCTCACTACGTAGTGATTTGTGAATGGAAGAACTAGCACTAAAGTTGGTGCTTTATATAGTTACCAGTTAATAAACATAATGTGGTAATTGGAATTTGAACTGTGTTGTTGGGGGACTGGTGTTTTACAAAATCATGGTAATGGAAATTTATTCTTATCAGGACTGTGCAATATGAGGACTGCCTGTATTGAGACATGTTAACATGACTTATTTTATGACACCATATTATCTGGCTTCTGCCTGTGGTGGTTTTGTGTTGTTTTTTTTTTTTAAAGCTTCATCTTAAAGCCACTTCTTCCTTCAAGCTGTGCTCAGATCTTAGTTTGTGTAGTTTTCCCAAGTTTGAATTCCTTTGCCTCTTCCCTAGTCCCTCTTTTCTCTACCCCATTCTCTTCTGTTGGATATCTCCTACTTACTCTTTTAAGTTTTTCTATAGAGTTGCTTTCTTTGAAAAAAGATTTTCTTTCCTTTTAAATTTGGGTTGTATATTCTGCCTGAGGTGTTCCCTTATCATGTATTGCTTTCTCTGTCTTAATATAGTACACATGCTCACACTGTATTGTACTCATTTACTTACCTATCAGACAGTGTTTTCCATGCATATAGAGATCATGGCAGTGCTGTTCCTGACTGTATCCCTAGCCTGTTACTGGGTGGCACAAAATAATGGGCACTTAGTATTAATTTTTTTATTTAATGAAAGGTAATCAGAATTTTGATGAATACTACCATATCATTGGAAGGTATTTGGAGCACTGAAGTATAGCTAGTCAAACGTAACAACCTAGGTACCAAATTATAAAATATTGAGAATTTATACTTTCTTATGCTTTAAGTGAAATGAACATTTGATAGCATGCATTCTGTGATCCTTATAATTAAATAAATACATCACAGGCCTCATGATTAAAGATCTGTCTTCAGTCTGATATGGTAGGTGCTTAATAAATACTTGTCGAATCAATGAGGGGACAACTTAAGTTTTATATATTTTTTTGGTTATAATAATTATTTTCATTTATTTCTAAGGTATCTTCATGTTTTAATGATCTTCTGGTCATTTGTTGCTGGAGTTGTTACATTCTATTGCTCTTTGGGACCGGATTCTCTCTTACCAAATATATTCTTCACAATAAAATACAAACCCAAGGTAAAATTTATGTGTTCTTATTTTTAAGAGTAGTATGTATTACCTATGCTGTTTGATATTATTACTGAAAGCATGTTAAAGCAATGATTTAAAAAAAAATCCATCTGGTATTATTTAATAATGGAAGACATCAGAACATAATTAGAAATGAAATTTATATATGTGTATATTTTTAAGGTATACAGCTCTACAACGAGCTATAAAAAGAAAATACAAACTTCTCAGAAAGTTGGAATCCGTAATTATAGAGTGTCCTCTAACTGCATATTAACTATGAGGACAGTAAATTAAAACACGTTCCCAAAGTTGGTTATACAATAGAATCACCTGGGGAATCTTTTAAAAAAAAAAGAAAAGGATTCCTAGGCTCTCTCATCAGATTTTGATAGAATAGTTCTTGGTTAGGACCTTGTAATCAGTACTTGTTAAGAGCTTTCTAGGTGATTCTGAGACACAGACACAGGGAACTCTGAATTAACTTATCCCACGCTGTTAATTTCCTAAATGTCTTCAAGAGACAAATAATCAGGTAGTTTGCTTAACCAAAATAATTTGTATATTTAAAATTTCATTAGGGTGGTGTTGTATTGAATCTGTGTCTAGTAGGCAGAGTCACTAGTGTGTAGATATCTTGAAGTCTTGCTTAATAATTCTTTGAGTTGATACAGTCCCTCTTTTTAGGTTTGTTGGTACTTCTATCAGAAAAAGCACAGGGGAAAGTGGTGCCACATATTTGGTCAGAAACATGACTAGTTGTCACATATCTTTCCTTTCATTGAAGTTAACATTTTGGGGAAATAGAAAATAGTTTTTTCTTATATGTCTGAAGTAGAATATCATTTCCAAATATAGATTGAATTTTTTTTTAATAAGTGAGCATAAAAACTGACCTTAATTATATGCTTAGAAATTTGACTTAAGTATTGCATTTTATCAGTTATTTTTTTCCTCTCTTATTTGGCAGTTTAGTTTAGCCAGTAGTAGTTATTACAAAGAATGGTTTCAGTGTTATGGCAGACTGATAATAATTAAAAAAATATTCTTTCAATTTATACATTAATAAACTTTCGAAGTTGATTCTCTTTAGTAAAGATTATATGTAAACTAAGACAAATCTCTCCCCTTCCTCATTTCCCTTTTTTAGCAGTTAGGACTTCAAGAATTATTTCCTCAAGGTCGTAGCTGTGCTGTTTGTGGTAAAGTGAAATGTAAACGACATAGGTAAGTTAAACATTTTTTATTTGTTGATCCTTCCAATTCCATTTTGGATTTTAGGCAATTTAATTGTATGATTTTCTTTAGGCCTTCCTTACTACTTGAAAACTACCAGCCATGGCTAGATCTGAAAATTTCTTCCAAGGTTGATGCATCTCTCTCAGAGGTAATTAATTTAATAACACTGCCAAATATGCCCAAGCAGAATATATTAAATACTAATGGAAATTTAATTATGGAACATCTTAATATATGCCACCTAATGAATTCTTAACTAGGTAGTTGATTATTATGAAATATGCGACTCAGGTGATAAAATAGAAGTTTTTGGATCCTGTGTCTAATTTAAATGGACATTTTAGCCAAAGACAACACTGTTTTACCTAGATATTGCTTAATTCTTATAACAGTAGTCATCTTTATGGTAGGGTAATACCTGAGTTAGACAGAGCAAGTATGTCCTACTAAATTATCCCAGTTTTGGCACTTGCTAAAGGGTAGAGCAGAGAATGGGAGACTTTTCACTGTTTCCCTGTAGTGTAGGAATAGAGAGCATTCACCCTTATCTTTGTTACAGTGACATTTTATATATACTTTTTTGGTAACATGTATTTTGTTATTTCTTTTAGAAACTTGTTTTCCCCATTGATCTAAGAAAGGAGTTAAGTCCTTGAAGGCAGTAAATGGGGTCTGAGTTGTTCCCAGCACCAAGTATAGTGCCAGATATGTTGTTAGTAGTTGATAAACATATATTGAATTAAATTGAATGCTAATTAATTGAAGAATAGCATTAGGCATCTGAATCCTGCTTCATTATCTTTTTTTCCTAATTTGTATCCTTTGGCTAAAAGCATGCTGCATAAATGCCAAAACTCTTGGCATTTTTTTTTTTTTTTAATTTTATTATTTGACAGATCACAAGTAGGCAGAGAGGCAGGTGGGGGCGGGGAGCAGGCTTCCCGCTGAGCAGAAAGCCTGATGCGGGGCTCAATCCCAGGACCCTGAGATCATGACCTGAGCAGAAGGCAGAGTCTTAACCCACTGAGCCACCCAGGTGCCCCTTGGCACTTCTTTTTTTTCTAATTTCTTCTTTTTTCTTTTTCATTTTCAACTTCAGGATTCCTTGATTTAAGACTTTGCTATCTAATATGGTAGCCCCTAGCTGCTGTGGCTGTTCATAAACACTTGGAAATGTATCACAGATTGAGTTGTGGTTTTGAGGATTTAGTAAGAAAAAAAAAGAATGTAAAATATCCTATAATACATTTTATTGATGACATGTTGAAATAATATTCTGGATATATTGAATTAAAATATATCATAAAATTAATTTTACCTGTTTTCTTAATACTTTTTAAAAATATAGCTACTAGAAAATAAAAGATTACATATGTAGCTCACATTACATTTCTGTTACAGAGTGCTGATTTGAGGTCTGTTGAAGATAAGACCTCTAGCAAGAGTATTATTTGTGGATCTTTGACACTTCATTCAATTTCTTTTTTAAAAATTTTATTTATTTATTTATTTTTGAAAAAGATTTTATTTATATATTTGACAGATAGCGATCACAGGTAGGCAGAGGCAGGCAGAGAGAGAGAGAGAGAGAGGAGGAAGCAGGCTCCCTGCTGAGCAGCGAGCCCAATGTGGGGCTTGATCCCAGGACCCTGGGATCATGACCCGAGCCGAAGGCAGAGGCTTTAACCCACTGAGCCACCCAGGCGCCTCACTTCATTCATTTTGAACGAAAGAAAGAAAGAAAGAGAGAACGAACAAACTTATATGACGCTCTTGGCCTACTGCCTGGCCCATACTGGTTTTCAGTAAATACTAGCTCCAACATTTAAAAACATGTTTTGAGATCTTACTATAAGCAGGAACTGGACTAGGCCCCAGGAATAAAAGGAGAAATAAGATATGGTTCCTTTTTTCTAGGAACTTGAGTCTAGGAGGGGAGATAGACATATAAACAGTTGAATACAATGTAATGTGAATACTGGCAATAGTGGAAGAAATGTACAATGTATATTATTAATACAGAGGAAGAAATGCCTAACTATTGAGAGGGGCAGTCAGAAAATATGACTAGAAGTTTGCCAGACTGATAGTGTGGGAAAGGGTATATTAGGGTTTGGGAAGAGCTTTTGAAAGGAAAGGGAGGCTTTGAATAAGGTGTTCAGTAAGATGAAGGGCAAAATGTGAGAAAGGATGTGGGCATTGAAGACACTATGTAGCTAATATTTATTGGTTACTTGCTGAATATTGGGCACTGTACTAATTAAGTTATTTCTTGAAATCATACAGCCTGTAAAGTAGGTGCCCAAACTGGGCTTTAGAGGGTTTTAATTTTCTCAAGTTCATCCCTGGCTGGTAGTAGAACTTACTCTAAAACCTGGGTCTGGCTTAGTTCTTAGACAGTTTTTATATGGCTCTTTAGAAATCTGATCATTGAAAGATTTAAAGGGCCTTGCTGAAGGAGTTTAATTGATCATAGAAGTCACTGACTTTTGAAGTGTGTAACTGGAGTTTTCAGATGTGACTCAGAGGATACAATGAGAAGTGAAAAGGAAGTAAATGGTCACAGCTGCTAGCAGGAAGCTTTCTCCCTCGCCTTCAAAATCAGTGTAGCTCCACTTTTCTTACTTTGCTATATTGTGGTTTGATAAATTGAGGGTTTTATGCGTGGGATTGAGGTGTTCAGATACATGTTTTAGATTACTTTGGCAGCTCTTGGAGGATGGATGGGAGCTAGCTTGGAAGGAGGGAGACTAGAAGCTCTTGCTACAATATAAGGTTGAGAAGATAAGGACTGAACAGTGGAGCTATAGAAAAGAGCTATGTAGGTAGTAAAATCAATAATATTTGGTGATTGGATGTGGGGGTTAAAGTAAGACCAAGTATTTAATAGCAGATTTTCTGGTGTCCTTTTTGTGTCATATCCCTGTTTCTATGTGTCTTACTTTCCCAACTGGTATCACTAAGTGCTTAGTTTTTCTTTCTTTTCTTTTCTTTTTTTTTTTTTGTGCTTAGTTTTTTTAATACAAAATCAAATCTTGCCTTAATATTTAAAGAATCTACAACCTTCCTTGCTACTGCCAGAGAAGGAATATAAGCCTACAGTCAGGTTAGATACCTTTGTTAGATACCCTCCCAACTGCTTTAGAAAGTTACTGCCCATTGTTGCAAGTCTTTTCAAAAATTAACGTAATACTGCACCCAGAGTTAAGAAATGGAAATTTTAACACCCAGATTTCTTTTGTTTTGTTATTTTTTCATTTATAACTTATATGCTGATTTTTAATATACAGCTAAAATTTTCACAAAGTAAACATATCTGTATAACCAACACCCAGATCAAGAAACAAAACATTATTAGTACCCCAGAAGTCCCCCTCAGACTCCCTTTTAGTCACTTCAGAAGCAATCACTGATAGCTAATTTTGACCCCTTATGTAAGTCTGACCTACTTGTTTCTTCATTTTATTCTGGGAATACTGATTTGTAGAGAGAGTTAGGAATTCATAAGACTAACCTATTATTTTCCTTCTTTCCATAGAACTTTCAGTTCAGTGAAACTTCAGAGTCAGGAACAATTTAAGTTTGTTGTTGTTTTTTTTTAATTGTGGGAATGTTTAGAAATGTGTATATGTCATTCTAATAGTATTGTTTCTTTTTATAGACTTTCATGGTTTTCAAAGTGTTTTCTCATATGTTCCGTTTGATCATCGCAATAACCATGTAAGGTTGACAGTATATGTCATATGAAAGTATGATACTAGATGTCAATATTTGGGATAATAAAATTGATTTTTGGTAGTATACATTACTTGGTCATATGGTTTATTTTCCTAGAATTAGTTAATTAATTTGATTTTTCTTTAAAAACTAATTTTTATGCAGGTTCTTGAATTAGTGTTGGAAAACTTTGTTTATCCATGGTACAGGTAAGTTCTCTCTGTAAGACCTTTTTTCTTTAGTGAATACGATTAAGTGTGCTGATGAAGTGTTACCAGTGTAGGCCTGGATTTCTCAGCTTTGACACTATTGACATTTTAGGCCAAGTAATTCTTTGTTGTGGGGGGCTGTCCTGTGCATTGTGGGATATTTAGCAAAACTGCTGGCCTTTTTGCATGAGATACTAGTAGCAGCCCCTCATCCTTTTACTTGTGACCACCAAAAATATCTTCAGAGATTGCCATATGTTACCTGGGAGGCATGATTGGCCCTAGTAAGAACCATAGATGTACGTAATCAACTAACAGTTTAGTGATAGCAAAGAAGGAAAAACCTTGGCTGCTTTTTGAAAGAAAATTAGCTTAGGGAATTCCTCATCACTCCTAAATGGAGTGACCTCATTTTTATTTTATTTTATTTTATTTTATTTTATTTTATTTTATTTTATTTTATTTTATATTCTTAAGTGATTTGGGAAGTACTTCATGGTTCTTTGTTGGTTTTTGTTTTTGTTTTTTTTCTTTTTTAAAGATTTCATTCATTTATTTGAGAGAGAGAGCAGAGAGCACAAGTGGGGAATGGGAGGAGAGGGACAAAGGAATACAGAGAGGCAGACTCCTCACTGAGTAGGGAGCCCAGTGTGAGGCCTCGATCCCAGGACCTTGAGATCCATGACCCAAGCTGAAGGCAGGTGCCCAGGGGGCTGAGGCACCCAAGTGCCCCGATTTAATAGTTTATATGCACTTTTTACATTTGAAATAATTGTACATTTAGAGGAAAAGTTTATATTCAGATGTTTCATTAAATTGAAAGATAATTTTAATAGAATTTTCCTAAAATATTAATGATTTTTCCAAAGTAACTTGTTTTTAATATCTGCTATGGACATACAAGTGCCCTGTGCCTTGCAGGATATAGAAAATAGTTTAGATCTGAAAAATTAATCTAATTTGAGAATCAGAAATTCACAATATATATTTAATAAATAAATGTTGTCTTAAAAAAGTATCATGTATTTAGTTACATAATTGAACTTAACACCTATATGACCTATAGATGTAATATTTAAAGGCATCTATCCTAATTTTATATATTTTGAATTTTCTCATTAAAAAATGCTAGCAGGCAAGATGCTCTATAGTATTAAACTTAATATCCATTTTATTATATTTTCCTGAAAAGCTATGAAAATTAATATTTTTATGTTGGATTTAATCTTAAATATAGGGCATTTGCCATTTAAGTAAAGCTGTTAGTAAGTCTTTTTGTAAAATGAATCCTCTTGTGAAGACTCCCCCCACCCCCACGCCATGTCCTAACTCTTCATAAGAGCTGGCTGTATTTCTAAATGATAAGGTATGTATTTTCTCCTCAGTGTAGTTATTGATGCTGAAATAGTCACTTCCCTGGGGTTAATAGTGGGAGGCTTGATTAATACAATTATCTTTGTTATTCTGCCAAGGGACTTAATAGCACCATCTTTAAGTTCAGGATAATACCATTATATATACCTTTCTTGCTTGCTTTGAGTAGGCAAGTGTCCTAATTCTTTCAGGAACCTCATGGCTTCAGGAAAATGAAAAGTAGTTCCTCAGATAAAGGTTGTCAAAATTTCTGTTTAAAAATGTTTGCATTTCAGTTAATTTTCTTTCTCAAATAGAACACATTTTTTTTTTACCTTTTAGAATTAGTTTATATTATTAACTATAAATATTTTAAACTAATTAAAAATTGTGTATTAATTCTGTTACTCCTCCAAAATTATTGTTTTATTTCTTTTAAATTACTTTGAGAATGCTTAGAAAATGTTTGGAGTATTGTAAAAATATGACTTTGTACATGTAGTTGTCTACAGGGAAATATATACTACAATTTAGTTAATAATGATTATATCTTGGTACTAGAATTATGGGAGATGTCTATTTTTTCTTTGTACATTTTTATTTTTTATTCTGTAATGTAACATATTATTTGTTAAAAAAGCAAAGAAAACATAAATGGAAAAAAAGAGGAAGTTCTAAACTTTCCTTGGTTTCTAGGAGGGTAGGCTGTGTATTTCTCTGAGCTTTTAAATGCTTGCTTTTCTCCTTAATTGAAGGGATGTAACAGATGATGAGTCCTTTGTTGATGAACTGAGAATTACATTACGGTTTTTTGCATCTGTCTTAATTCGAAGGATTCACAAGGTAAATATTTATAATGAGAAATTTGGGAATTGGAGGTTTTATTATTACTAGAGATTTTTAAAAATCTTAGTTTTACTTTATCCTGTGCTGTTTATATTTTTTCTTCACTTTTAATTTTTTTAGATTAAGAGATGAATGGGTCACTTTTGATTCATTGATAAATTTTACTTTCTTTAATGCTTAGATATCTTGGCTTGTGGTAATTAGAAATAAAAAGACAGCTATAGGAAAAAAAGTCATGTTCCTGTTAGATGAATTTAATGAGTAAATGGCGATGACTATGATCTACTTTTTAAAAAGAAATTTAAGCCATATTATGTTTATGTTTGGGTCTTTGCCTATATATAGTCACAGTGTGTTGGCTGTAGATACACATGCTTTATATTGCCTTGTCAGTTTGATAGAATTGGTATATAACTGTAATTAGTAAATAAAGATAAATCTTGCTAAATGTTTCTATACTTTTTTGAGAAATTAACAATATAGTCAACCACTATAGAAAAGACAGGGAAAAAATATGAATAAGCAGTTCACAAAAGAAAAATAGAAAAATGACCAATAAATACTGAAAATATGTTGTCTGCTTCAAACATTGTTTTTTGATGAGATGCTACCCTCTTGCCTGTCGGATTGGGAACGATAAAGAATGATAATGTCTAGTAATGGTGATTGTGGGGAAACAGGCAAAGCAAGTACAAATCCAAATTGGTGTAATTCTTACACTGGAAGGCAGTTTGATAATCTCTATTAAAAGACTTAAAAATGTCTATACTGCCAAATTTAATTTTGTTTTTGTTAATATGTTTTAAAGAAATAATCAGAGATGTATATAAAAATGTATGCTCAAAGATTCATTGTGGTATAATTTATAATAAGGAAAACTGAAAAAAAGCTGATGTCTAATGATAAGATTGTCCATTAAAATATAGTACATGCCAGTTAGAGAATTCTGTGCAGCCATGAAAAGTCATTTTATAGAATAGTACTTATTTACATGAGAAATTATTTTTCTTATATAATCAAGTGGAAGAGGTCGGAAAAGAATTTATGTGGTGTTTTTCCACATTGAAAACAAAGATCACATATTAGAGCTTATTAATATGTATATTAAGGACACATAACCTTATCACTGTTAACTTACTATTATGGTGGGTTGATGCTGATTTTTGGTTCTTTCTGGGCATTTCTTTCTGTTCACCTTTTTTTTTTTGTATGAGTGTTTTACTCTTTTGTAAATAGAATAAAGTGGATAAAATTAATCATATTGTTTAATAAAAGTCTAAGGCAGCTGTATAGACTTTAAAATTGGAATAAAAGATTCGGTAAAAAATATCAATTGATGATAAGCCACTTAAATTACAACTTAGAGGAAGTCAAATAAAATTGATCAAAAAGCTGACTCATTACAATAAAGTTATCTATAGGTATTACTTAGTAGAATAGCTCTGCTCTGTTAGGCTTTGTGATAGCCTAGTGATTTTAAAATCAAAGTACTTCATACTTGGATTGCATTATATGTATTTTTTCGTAGCAGCTCTACTGAGGTCTGCTTTGTATACCAGACAGTTCACATATTTAAAATGTATGATTCAGTGATTTTTAGCATATTCCTGGATTTACACAATCATTACCACAATTTTATAACATTTTTATCACTCAAAAAGAGACCTCATACCCTTTAGCCATAAATCCTTATTCTCTCATGCTTTTAGATCTAGTCACTAGCCCATCCACTCTCTGTCTCTATAGATTTATTTATTTTGGACATTTCATATAAATGGAATCATGTAATATGTGGCCTGTTCTCATTGGTTATTTTTGACTTGGCATAATGTTTCCAAAGTTCATCCATGTTATGTTGTAGCATGTATTAGTACTTCTTTCTTTTTTTATGTCTGAATAATAGTCCATTGTGTGGATATGCCACATTTTGTTTATTTATCCATCAGTTGATAGACATTTGGATTATTTCCACTTTTTGGCTGTTACAGATAATCCTGCCCTAGCATTTGTGTGCAAGTGTTTTTGATGGTTATAGGGATATGTGTTTTCACTTTTCTTGGGTATATACCTAGGAGTATAATTGTTGAATCAAATGGTAACTCTGTTTAAGTTTTTGATTAAGTGCCAGACTCTTTTCCAAAGTGGCTGCCATTTTACATTCCCACCAGTAGTATTTGAGGGTTCTGATTTCTCTATATCCTTGCCAGAACTAGCTATCATCTCATTTTTTATTCTAACCACACCTAATGGGTATGAAGTGGTATCATTGTGGCTTTGATTTGCATTTCCCTGATGACTTATGATATTGAACATCTTTTCATTTGCTTATTGGCCATTTGTATTTTTTTTTTTTTTTTTGAGTAATGTCTATTCAAATTATTTGCCTATTTTTTCACTGGGTTGTCTATGTATTATTGAATTGTAAGAGTTCATACATATGATTTGCAAATATTTTCTTCTGTTTTCTGGATGGTTAAGCTTTCTATCCTTTCTTTTCATTTTATCTGCATCACTTTCCCAGCAGATAAGTAGGTCATTATCATACCCATTTTATAGGAAGTACCTTTGTCAAAGTGTTAGAAGTAGTAGTTGATGGGCCAACAGTTGTGCCCGGTCATCTTGCTCTTAGTACAGTGTTCTGTCTCTGATAGCGTTGCCTAAATAATGTAAATTGGCAGTTTGGGGATAATGAAAACAAAACACATTTTTTTTTTTTTTAAGTTTAGTGGTGAGCCCATTATTTTAACATTTTGATTCTGACCTGAGGTCTCTAAAATGGATCTTAAAAAAGGAAAATTTTCATGAGTATTCTCCAAGATTTTATCAAATGTTTGAAAAGAAAACATCCTATTTATTTGATAAATATTACAGCAACCTATAGTCACTGAGGACGAGAAGCCAGAGAAAAATGAAGAGTAATATTATTTTGCAACAAATTATATTATCAACAAAAATATTCTCTCTTACTGAATATGTGTGATCTTATATAGCTAAAAGATATCTGTAAACTGCTCTGGGTTTTACTGGTAAATCACTAAAAATTGGGGGTTTATGATCCATCACACTTACTAGATTTATAAGCCTGTGATTCCCTACCACTTGCTTAATATGGAATTTAAAAATAATTGAAACGTTGACACAAAACTTTGCTATGATGCAATTTTTTCATGTCTTTGATAAAGTGAAAATGTGTTGAGTTTTGTGGTTGAAGTCCAGTGAACATGCTTTTTGGTGATTCATTTCATTTGCAATTCAATTTTAGTTATTTTTTGTCTCTCTTATGTGCGTACATATAGGCCTTCAGTCCTCCATCACTAACCTATCATAGTCACTACAGTTTCCAGCCTTCAAGGTGAAAAATGTCTGTGGGGAATCATGAAATACAATATTATTCCAAAATAGAATGTTTCTATCTAGCTTAAAACCAAGATTTATCTTGTAAGCTGAATAAAAAATTCTTCATTTTTAAGTAACCTTAATAAACAGAAACTTATGGCCCCAAAGGGATGATACATTACTTGAGAATTTTCTTTCGATGTGTTTAAAAGAAACACATTAAAGAAATCAAGAATAAAGATACTATTTTGTGGAGAAATTTAGTATAGATAATGCATGCATATTAAGGTATATTTTCTTTAGTGTGATAAACTGTCTAATGTTGCAATTAGTATGATCTAAGAATATAAAGCACTTTTAATTACATTTTTGAAAGATTTTAAATAATATCTCTAATTTTTAAGATCATGTGTTCCAGTATCTTAAATTTAGTGCTCCTGCCATTGTAACTCATTAATTGTTTTAAAAAGTTTTATTTTAATGTTGAATTTTTCTAGGTGGATATTCCATCTATTATAACCAAGAAACTATTAAAAGCAGCAATGAAGCATATAGAGGTGATAGTTAAAGCCAGTCAGAAAGGTAATAAAGTTTTCTACTACAAAGTCTGAGTGATTTTTTTATATACCAACTTTTACCTTAAATACCTAAGTATGATTACTGATGCATTAACTGATATTCACAAATGCTGTGCAAGTATTCCTTTACCCCAAAATCCTTTTCAGTACTTTGTTTACTGTATAAGTGATTGTGAAAACTCAGAAATCTATGAAAATTAAAATATACTTAGTTAACTCTTAGATATAATATTGATGACTTTCATCTTCTTTTGGATGATAGTCTGTTGCCTTTATTACTCCCTCTGAGGTATCTCTCACATCTCTTCTCCCTTTCCCTTCTTAATGATTTCAACAGTTTTGACCTATTCCAGCCCATCCTATATATTGCTACCATGTTAATTTCACACTACCACAATTCTCATGTTATCTCTCTACTAAAAAAAAAAAAATTAGTGACTCTATTATAGACTCTGAATTTTATATTTAAGTACTTCTTAGTCAAATATTTTAATTTACTCTTGTCTCTGTGTATTACGTGTTGGCTGGGATCACCTATTTGTAGGTTTTCGTGAATATCCTGGCCTTTTATACTGTCATGATTTTCACATAGCAAACATTTTCTCATTTCTCATTGAATGAATGAAATCTTCATTTGGTGGGTGCCTGGGTGGCTCGGTGGGTTAAAGCCTCTGCCTTCAGCTCAGGTCATGATCTCAGGGTCCTGGGATCGAGCCCCACATCGGGCTCTCTGTTCAGCAGGGAGCCTGCTTTCCTTCCTCTGCCTGCCTCTCTGCCTACTTGTGATCTCTGTCTCTGTCAAATACATAAATAAAATCTTAAAAAAAAAATCTTCATTTGGGACTTTTCTTGCTCTTAGAGCAAACAGAATTTTTATTTTTTAAAAAAATTACTTATGTGTTTGGGGCGCCTGGGTGGCTCAGTGGGTTAAAGCCTCTGCCTTCAGCTCAGGTCATGATCCCAGTGTCCTGGGATCGAGCCCCACATCAGGCTCTCTGCTTGGCAGAGAGCCTGCTTCCCCCGCTCTCTCTGCCTGCCACTCTGCCTACTTGTGATCTCTTTCTATCGAATAAATAAAATCTTAAAAAAAAAATTTCTTCTGTGCTCTATACTTGGTTCTTTGCAAAACTGATTTTTCCTTATGTTTGCATTTGGTATTCTTTGTGAGTGCTTTCCCAGTGTTTTTGGTATTCTTTGTTAATGCTGCGTACTACTCCATGTAGTAACTGTGTAGAAGAGGTTTCATATTTTGAAACCTCTTTGAAATGAAAATTTTCATATTGGTCATATGGTCATATTTTCTGGTAATTACTACACATTATATTCCCCTTCTGGAAATTCCCAGTTAATGCCAGTGTACGAAAATCTCTGAGTAGACTTGCAGCAAAGAAGTGGTTTGAACTATTTAAATAGTTTTTAACTTCCCACATTCCAAATTCCTTTGAGTACAGAACTAATTTTCCCTCCCTTATCATATCAGTTAATATAAGCGGTTCATTTGGGGAAATTATGGTCTAGGCAGAGTTGAATAAAAACAAATAAAATATTTGTTTTTGGTATAAATAAATCCTCAGTTGTGAGAAGCATTTCAAATTATATTTAAAATTTTTTCTGTTTTCATCTTACAACAACTAAAAATAGCTTTACTTATAGTTAAAAAGTAGAAGTTTGAATATGTGTAATTTGTTAAATTGAAAATAAACTTAAAATATTGTGCTGTCACTGGCAAAAACAAATTAGAAGATAGCAATTGTCTTGTAGCCATTTTGTCAAGGGTACTTTACTATCAGAAAAAAAATAGGAGAAGGGGGTTTTTATTAGTAAATTTATTATTATAATTTTTAAAAGATTTTATTTATTTATTTGAGAGAGAGACAGTGTGAGAGAGAGATCATGAGCAGGGGCGAGGGGTAGAGAGAGAAGCAGGCTCCCTGATGAGTAGGGAACCTGATGCAGGACTTGATCCCTGGACCCTTAGATTGTGACCTGAATCAAAGGCAGACATTAACTGACTGAGCTACGCAGGCGGCCTATTATTATTATTACTATTTTTAAAGATTTTATTTTTAAATCTCTACACCAAACATAGGGCTCAAATTCACAACCTAGAAATCAAGAGTCACATGATCCACTGACTAGCCAGCCAGGAGCCTCAATAAATTTTATTTTTTAAATTATTTATTTTAAAGATTTTATTTATTTATTTGACACAGAGAGCTAGAGAGAGAACACAAGTAGGCAGAGCGGCAGGCAGAGGGCCCGGGAGAAGCAGGGTCTCTGCTGAGCAGGGAGCTGATGGGCTCAATCCCAGGACCCTGGGATCATGACCTGAGCGAAGGCAGACGCTTAACTGACTGAGCCACCCAGGTGCCCTACATTTTTCTTTATTTTCTTTTTTATTTTTTAGAGATTTTATTTATTTATTTATTTGACAGAGATCACAAGTAGGCAGAGAGGCAGGTAGAGACAGAGACGGGGGAAGCAGGCTCCCTGCTGAGCAGAGAGCCCGATGCGGGACTTCATCCCAGGACCCTGAGATCATGACCTGAGCTGAAGGCAGAGGCTTTAACCCACTGAGCCACCCAGGCACCCTAAATTTTATTTTTTAGGGCAGTTTTAAGTTTATAAAAAAAATTGAGCAGAAAGTATAGAGTGGCCATATATCTTTTTCCCCAATAACATCCTTTTTTTTTTTTTTAAGGTTTTATTTATTTATTTGACAGAGAGAGAAACAGTGAGAGAGGGAACACAAGCAGTGGGAGTGTGAGAAGGAGAAGCAGACTTCCCCTGAGCAGGAAGCCCGACACAAGGCTCTGTCCTGGGACCCTGGGATCATGATCCTAGCCCCTAGCTGAAGGCAGACGCTTAATGGCTGAGCCACCCAGGCGCCCCCTCATTAACATCTTTAACTAGTTGGTACATTTGTTACTACTGATCCATCAATACTGATACATATTGTTAACTAAAGTCCACAGTTTTCATTAGGGTTTACTCTTTGTATTGTACATTCTATGGGTTTTGACAAATGCATAATGCCATGTATCTGCCATTACTGAATAGTTTCACTGCCTTAAAAATTGCCTTAAAAAACCCTATTTCGGGTTGCCTGGGTGGCTCAGTTGGTTAAGTATCTGCCTTCAGCTCAGCTTGTGATCCTGGGGTCCTGGCACTGATTCGGCATAGCCTGCTTCTCCCTCTGCTGGCCGCTCCCCCTGCTCGTGTTCCCTCTCTCTCTCTGACAAATAAATAAATAAAATCTTAAAAAAAAAAAAGAAAAATCCCCCGTGTTTCACACAGATATCTCTACCTCTTTCCTTCATGAACCTCTGGCAACCATTGATCTGCACAGTTTTGCCTTTTCCAGAATGTGATACAGTTGGAATCATACTGAAGCCTTTTGAGGCTGGTTTCTTTTATTTAAAAATATGGATTTAAGGCTTCTTCATGTCTTTTCATGGCTTGATACTCATTTCTTTTTATTGCTCAGTTATATTCCAATGTATGAATGTGCCCCAGTTTGTTTATCCATTCACCTATTGAAGGACATCTTGCTTGCTTCCAAGTTTTGGCAGTTATGAATAAAGCTGCTGTAAATATTTATGGGCAGGTTTTTATGTGGGAGAAGTATTTTTAATATAGTCTTTGTTCTGAAGGCTAACACTTTGAGGGCAACCCTGTCAGGACCCCTCTCACTCTTGAATGCTTTTTTGGTATCTTCACTTAATAAACTATCACTTCACTCATTTAAAAAAAAAAAAAAAGACAAACACTTTGAATGCAGGCTATGAGTAAAAGGGGACATCTTTTTATTTTTAGTTGAATTAATCAATTTAATAAAATTGCCAAATTATTTTACTCTAAGAGAGTGGTATTATATAATATATGTACACTCACACACAAACCAGTTTGAAATTAATTGTTGAGTCTTTACAAGGGAGGGGTTGCTGATTTGCTACTGTTAATGCAAAAAATGATTCCTAGTTATAAAATCACCATAAAATGCTAGGTCGAATTAATTAATAACATTGTAATAAGATTCATAGAATTAAAGCCTGAGATTATTAGAAGGACTTTTATTTTATTCGAAGGTCTTGGTATTCTAAATATTATGACAGTGAATTAGATAGACTTGTAAAGAAGGTTTTCAGATTTTTGAATTTTTGAATTTTCATTTCTTTAATATATAGATTTGTTTTCTAAATTCTTTGGCCCCATAATTGTGCATAACTCATAAAAGTAATTAAAGGTTCATCTCTTCATTCATGTTCCTTTTATTCTTTGAGTATTTTCTCTGTAATCTGCCTCTTGAGAATAGGGATTATGTAAGATGTTTTCTATGTGTGTACTGTCATGGCCCTTTAGAAATACTGAATGTATGTACATTAGAAGCATTGGCTTAATTTAAATTCAGTAACACATTGTGCAGAAGGACTTTACTCTCTAGTCTTTCAGCCTGAAGATAGCTGTTTGTCATGGATTCTAGAGACCTTTCCTTTTTTGGTCTATAAATGCTAACTCTTAAGGCAGTATAGATGTACTGATGATTCATGAGGACTAATCCATGCTCTGTTTTCAAGCATCTATATTTTGCTTATGTTCCCAATTAAGATTTTCCTCCCTATATTCTTTTATCTTATGCCTGATTTCTTTATTTTCTCATTATCTAGAACCACAAAGAACCCTCTTGTCTGACAGTTGTTGAATAGATTCCAATCTGGTGTTTTAATTTATATATTATGTGTGAATGCTTAATCACATTGAATGTTACAATCTTATACATTTTGCATGATGATTTTTTAGTGTTTATAATTGCTTAACTATTTACTGATGTGGGAATGGAGGCTCATAGGGATTATATCATTTGTTCAAGATCATATCAGTTTGTCCAGTAGAGTTGGAATTTAGCATGGCCTAGTCTCATGGTAATTCCAGCTATGACAGACATTTTTTAAAAACCTGTGCTCCAAATTCTTGGAGAAAAATGCTTAGTAAATAAATGCATAATGATGAAATAAAATGCATTTCTTGTAATAACTACATCCGTCTTTGCCAGGCCTTCTTTTGTATCTCAGGCACAGATAGCCTTCATTTACCTTCTTAGTACTCACATTTTAGAATGCATATATTGGCCTTTTTTCGGGTAAACATGCTTGCATTCTCTTTGGATAAAAATAGAAGAAAATAGTAAAAAACAAATGCCATTGAATTAGAGTTAAGATTCCTTTCATAGGCTTCATGATTTTAAAACTCGGCACAGAGTGCAAATAGGGGAAAGCATGACTTGTTTTCCTCCTTATCTTTTTGAGGTCTATAAAAAGAAGTGACAATGCTATTACCTTTAAGTTAAAATATTAGTTTTGGACACCTGGATGACTCAGTCGGTTAAGCCTCCGACTGTTTGATTTCGGCTCAGGTCCCTGATCTCAGTGTTATGAGATCCAGCCTGGTGTCAGGCTCTACACTCAGCACAGAGTCTGCTTAAGATGCTCTCCCTCTGCCGCTCCCCTCTGCCTCCCCACTCCCGCCACATACTCTTTCCTAAAATATTAGTTGAGTGCTTGGCCTTTTAAGAAAACTTTCTGTTAATATAAGTTTTATCATCACTTAATATTCATTAAGTAATTTATCTGTTCATGGACTTCTACCTTATACAGTTCTCTTATATCCTGTACTCTGAGCAGAAGACACAGAACTTAACCAAGGAAGCCAGTGCTTTAAAAGGTTATCTGAATGATTTAGATGTGAAAGCAGAGACAACAAAGCATTTTAACAGGGTTTTGTGTGTGTGTTTGTGTGTGTGTGTATTTGCAGAGGATGAACAAGTTATAACATTTGATAACAAAAGCTTTGCATGTGCTAGAGGTTTTTTGTAGTTTTTTTCACTTTTTAAAATAAATACTTGCTTTTGTTTAGTATCATTTATAAAGTAGTGGTATGAGTTAGATCTTTGTTTTTCATAAGAAAAGGTCTTTATCATTTTTTTGCAAAATTGAAAGACTTATGGTAAGGAAGAAAATTATTCTTTTTATATCCTTTTTGTGAAAAATTTCCCAGTAGAATACATATTGGAAAGAAAGGAGGGCTAGGAAAGGAACAACTGTATAAATGGTTTTCTGTTTGTTAGTAGAAATGGCTGAAGTTATTTAATGTTGCTTAACTTCTTTCAATATTTATTTTTTATCTCTATTTATAGTAGAAAATACAGAGTTTTTACAGCAAGCTGCTTTAGAAGAATATGGTCCAGAGCTTCACGTGGCTTTGAGGAGTCGAAGAGATGAATTACACTATTTAAGGAAACTTACCGAACTACTTTTTCCTTATATTTTGCCTCCTAAAGCAACAGACTGCAGGTATAAATAGTAAGGAAATGTCATAGCAGTATTTGCATACCATGCCATATGTATATTGCTATTCTTGATCATAATAGGAGTATACTAAAACTTGAGATTAACCTATGATGTGACTAACTTTTCATTTAAGAAATATAATTTGTCAGGTTGTAAAATGCCAGGTGCTAAGTACTGATCATGTGTTGTGTTGCTTAGAATTTTTTGTGGGGGAGTGATCTTGGGAAATAAAGATAAATATGAGTCAATCAGCTTTTTTATTTGAGATCATTATGCTTTGTTAATTTCTTGGTGTTCCATTTTAAAGACATAAGCATTGTGACTTTGAACAAACTAAACAGACCAAATTTGTGTTTTAAGGTTATACCTGGCAAGAATAATTAGAATTCATCTAGACCATCCTTCTTTGTTCTGGCAGGAACTTATTTAGATTATTCTATAAAGTTATCTCATTACTCTTACCCTAATATTTTTTTTTTTTTTAAGATTTTATTTATTTGGCAGAGAGAGACACATCAAGAGAGAGAGATCATAAGCATGGGGAGTGGGAGAAGGAGAAGCAGGCTTCCTGCAGAGCAGAGGCCCCAATGCAAGGTTCAATCCTAGGACCCTGGGATCATGCCCTGAGCCTAAGCAGGCACTTAACAACTGAGCCACCCAGGTTCCTCTTACCCTAATAATTCTTAAAGGAGAAACCATGGCTTATTTTTAGTAATGTATTCTATTTTTTACTTTTTTTTTTTTAATTTAATTTTTAAGTAATCTCCACGCCAAAGTGGGGCTTGAACTCACAACCCCTAGATCAAGAGTCGCATGCTCTACTGACTGAGCCACCAGGCACCCCTAGTGATTTTTTAAATTTCTTTTTATTTTTTATTATTTTTTAAAAGATTATTTATTTGACAGAGAGTACACGTGAGTGTATAAACAGCGGGGGCAGCAGAGGGAGAAGCATAGGGAGCCCCAGTGTGGGACTTGATCAAGGACCCTGGAATCATGACCCGAGCCAAAGGCAGATGCTTAACCAACTGAGCCACCCAATGGGCCCCTTAGTGATGTATTCTAAATAAATATTACTTTGTAACATATATATTTTTTAAAGATTTTATTTATTTATTTCACACAAAGAGCACAAGCAGGCAGAGCAGCAGGCAGAGGGAGAGGGAGAAGCAGGCTCCTCAATGAGCAGAGAGCCTGATGTGGGGCTCTATCCCAGGACCCCGTGATCATGGACCCATACTGAGCACAGATGCTTAATTGACTGAGCCACCCAGACACCCCATAACATAAAGTTTTTATTAAAAATTTTAAATATTTTAATGAAAAAAATTTTTTCTTTAAGATTTTATTTATTTGACAGAGAAAGAGATCACAGGTAGGCCGAGAGGCAGGCAGAGAGAGAAGGGAAAGCAGTCTCCTTGCTGAGCAGAGAGACTGATGTGGGGCTTGATCCCAGGACTCTGAGATCATGACTTGAGTTGAAGGCAGAGGCTTAACCCACTGAGTCACCCAGGCGCCCCTAATGAAAATATTTTAAACAGATTAATGTATAATGTTAATTTAAATGTTCTAATTACAAATTATTTTATTAGTTTTAAGCATTAGTTTAAAAATGTATTAAATATTTTAAGTATTCTGAGGTGGGGTGTGTTTTCTAATGCTCACCCAAATCCCTCCCTTTAAGGAAATGCTTTTTTCTCTTAAACAGTACTCTCTTTTAGCCAGTTCAAGAATCTAAGTATGGTCTGTGAACCATAAGAATGAGCATTACTTGGGAGCTTTTTAGAAATGCAGGATCTTGGGGCATACCTACTGAATCATAGTCTGCATTTTAACAAGATCTCTACGTAAGAAGTGATGTAAATTACTAAATATGTGTAATATTGTTTGTTTTTTCAGATCCCTGACCTTGCTTTTAAGAGAGATCCTTTCTGGTTCGGTGTTCCTTCCTTCTTTGGATTTCCTAGCTGATCCAGTAAGGCTTAAAAAATGGTTTTAAATTGTGGTAAAATACATGTAACATAAAGTTTATCATCTTTAATGTTTTTATATGTTCAGTTAAGTGGTATTAAATACATTCATTATTGAGCAACCATCACTACTACCCATCTCTAGAACTCTTTCCATTATACAAAACCAAAATTCTGTACCCATTAATAATTCTCCATTCTTCTTCCCTCCAATCCCCTGGCAACCACCAACATACTAACCTATCTCTATGAATTTGACTACTCTGATACTTCATATACGTGGGCCCATGCGTTATTTGTCTTTTTGTGACTGCCTTATTTCCCTTAGCATAATGTCCCCAAGATTCATCCATGTTGTAGCATATATTAGAATTTCATTCTTTATCAAGGCTGTATAATATTCCATTGTAGGTATATACCATATTTTGCTATTTATGCATCTACTGATGGACACTTAAGTTGCTTTTATTTTTGAGCCAGTAAGATTTTGAAGAAACAGGAATAATTCATAAACATTTTAAATGCTGAAGTCAGAATAACTTTTCTTTGCCCACTTTCCTAAAAGTGAAACCCTGCATCCCATTTAAAAAAATTATTTGAGAGACAAAGTGTGAGCATGAGCTGGGGCCAGGGGCAGAGGTAGAGGGAGAGAATCCCAAGCAGACTCCCTGCTGAGTGTGGAGCCTGACATGGGACTGAGTCCCACAACCCTGAGATCATGACCTCAGCCAAAACCAAGAGTCAGATGCTCAACCGACTGAGGCACCCAGGCACCCCCTGCACCACAGATTTTTTAAAGTCCTTCTGTGTTACATGTGTGCAAACACTGTGCCCCTTTTCCATTTGCTTCTTCATTTTTCTAGAGACTTTCACAATATTAAAAAAGCTTTGAGAATTTTAGGCAGAATATAGTAATGGAATTGTTTTGACCTGTGTGTATTATTTTCCATTAGGATACTGTGAATCATTTGCTTATCATCTTCATAGATGACAGTCCAGTAAGTATTGAGTATTAAGTATGAATTTTGATTCATATCTGTCAAAAGCACATAGCACTTTTATTGAACTAATAAATTCTCTTTCTCCAAAGCCTGAAAAAGCAACTGAACTGCCTTCCCCTTTGGTTCCATTCTTGCAGAAATTTGCAGAACCTAGAAATAAAAAGCCATCTGTAAGTACTTTTAGCAATAATGTGTATTATTTTTGATATGAACAATTTTATCACGTGTTTACATGGTCTTAACTGCTCTTCTCCCATATTGTATCAAGGTGCTGAAGTTAGAATTGAAGCACATCAGAGAGCAGCAAGATCTCTTATTTCGTTTTATGAACTTTCTGAAACAAGAAGGAGCGGTGCATGTATTGCAAATATGTCTGACTGTGGGTGAGGCTTACCTGTGCACTTACTGAAGTCATTATTTTACTTCTTATTTATTATATTTTAAATACATTTGAATGTTTAGATCAGATCTGATTTTGTAGTTGTCATTGTACTAAATTTCATTTTACTAGATACTCTCATATCACTTTTGAGTTGTCTCTTAAGTGTCCACTCCTTTCCAGTTTGGAGCATAACTTATAACTGACTTCAACCAACTAACCTTTTAAAATATAACTTAAAAAAATTGAGATATAATTTACACAGTGAAACTCAACTTAAATGCACAGTTTGATCAGTTTTGACAAATCTATACATCTGTGTAGCCTACACTTTTATCAAGATGTAGAACATTTCCATCACCCCAGAAAATTAAGGCCCTTCTGAAATACTCCCACTCATGCCCAAGCAATCACAGGTCTTGTTTCTCTCACCACAGATTAGTTTTGCCTATACAGTTTCCTTATGTAAATGGAGTATATGGTATGTACTCTTCTGTGCCGGGCTTCATTGATTCAGGATAATGCTTTTTAAGATGAGTTCATGTTGTGTAGAGGACTATTTTGCTCTTTTTTGTTGTTGTTGTTGACTAGTATTCTTTTGTATGAGTGTACCATGTTTTTTGTTTGTTTTTTAATTCATCCTCATTGTGGATGAGTATATCTGGACTGCTTTCACTTTTGGGCTATTATGAATGAAATTGCTGTGCACATTCTTGTGTAAGGCTTTCTGTTGGGCATATGTTTAATAACTGGAAGTAGAATTGCTGGGTCACAGGGTGGATACATATTTTTGTTTTATGAGAAACTGCTAAATTGTTTTCCAGAGTGGTTGTACTATTTTACTCTCCCTAGCAGATGTGTGAGAATTCTGGTTGTTCCATACCTTGACCGAAATTTGGTAGTGTTTATCTTTTTAATTTTAGCCATTTTAAAGGGTGTGCGGTGTTATCTTACTGTGCTTTTAATTTGCATTTCCCTAATGACCAGTGTTGAACACTTTTTAATATGCTTATTGGCTAGTCATATTATCTTTGTACCTGGAAGTGTTTAAGATTAAGAATACATATTCTAATCCTGTTTGCCCAAATTTTTCTTTCTTTCTTTTTTTTTTTTTTAAATATTTTATTTATTTATTTGACAAGAGATCACAAGTAGGCAGAGAGGCCGGCAGAGAGAAGAGGGGAAGCAGGCTCCCCGCTGAGCAGAGAGCCTGATGCGGGGCTCCATCCCAGGACCCTGGGATCATGACCTGAGCCGAAGGCAGAGGCCCCAACCCACTGAGCCGCCCAGGTGCCCCTGGAGTTTTTTTATTGGAATTACATTAAATCAATAGTATAGATCAGCTCAGGGAGTAACGCTATCTCAACAGGATTTGGGTTTCCAGTATATGAACATGGAATATTTTTCCATTCATTTCAGCCTTATTTAATTTCTTTCTATAAAGTTTCATAGTTTTCACTGTAGGTCTTTATGTTTTCTGAAGTATTTGCATGTGATATTTAAAATAATTTTAAAATTGTGGCTAATAAACAGAATAGAATTGATTTTTTTGCATATTGACTTTGTATCCTCTGCCATTGCTACATTCATTTAATAGTTCTGGTAGCTTTTTTGTACATTTCCTTAAGATTTTTTTTTTTTTTTAAGATTTTATTTATTTGACAGAGAGAGAGAGATCAGTAGTGGCCAGAGAGGCAGGCAGAGAGAGGGGGAAGCAGGCTCCCTGCTGAGCAAGGAGCCCGATGTGGGGCTTGATCCCAGGACCCTGGAATCATGACCTGAGCCGAAGGCAGAGGCTTAACCCACTGAGCCATCCAGGCACCCCACCTTAAGATTTTTTATGTACGTAATTATGTCATTTGCAAATATAGTTTTACTTTTTCCTTTATAGTGTTTAAGCCTTTTATTTATTTTTATTGCCTGTTGCAGTGGCTAGGACTTTTACTATAATGTTGAACTGAAGCAGTAAAAGTGGGCATTCTTGCTTTGTTCCTGATCTTAGGGGGATATCACTTAGTGTTGTACCATTAAGTGTAGTACTAGTCTGTATTTTTGGTTTTGGTTTTTTTTTTTTTTTTTTTTTTTTTTGGTAGATATCTTTGGTCAGATTGAAGTTTCCTTCTCTTCCTGGTTTGCTAAGAGGGTTTTTTTTTTTTTTTTTTTAATCATGGATTGATATTAAAATTTTTTTGAGTTTTTTTTGTTTTTTAAGATTTTATTTATTTATTTGACAGAGAGAGAGATCACAAGCAGGCAGAGAGGCAGGCAGAGAGAGAGGGGGAAGCAGGCTCCCTGCCTAGCAGAGAGCCCAATGCGGGGCTTGATCCCAGGACCCTGAGAATACGACCTGAGTTGAAGGCAGAGGCTTAACCCACTGAGCCACCCAGGCACCCTTGAATGGTTTTAATGCATCTCGGTAACCTGTTTTATCGTCACTGAGTTATTTCCATTGTTACCTTATTGTGGAGCTATAATGATGTCCTCTCTTTATTGGTAATTTGTATTTTCTTTTTTCTTAACCTATATTGCTAGGGATTTTATCAAATCTATTAATATTTTTGATTTGCTAATTTTCCACTTTTATTTTTATTATTTCTACTTACCTTGAGTTTAATTTACATCTCTTTTTCTGGTTTCTTAATTTTATTTCTATCTTCTTTTTGAATATAGGCTTTTTTAAAACTATAAATTTTTCTCTATGAATTGCCATAGCTAAATTCTAAACTTTTGGATTTTTAAAAAAATTTTACCTATTTATTTAACAGAGAGTACAAGCAAGAGGAGCAGCAGGCAGAGGGAAAGGGAGAAGCATGTACCCAATGTGGTACTTGAACTCATGACCCTGAGATCAAGAGTTGTATGCTCTACTGACTAAGCCAGCCAGGTGCCCCAAATATGTGGTGTTTTTATTGTAATTAAGTTTTAAATATTTTAAAATTTCCCTCTGGTTTATTTTTTGACTTTAATTTACCAACATTTGGGGATTTTTAAGATACTTTCCTGTGATGGTTTTCTAATCTAATACTCTTCTCCTTAGGGCACCTGGGTGGCTCAGTTGGTTAAACATCTGACTCTTGATTTCAACTCTGGTCATGATCTCAGGGCCTAGGGATTGAGCGCTGCATGGGGGGGGGGTCCATGCTTACTGGGGAGTCTGCTTGAGAGTTCTCTCTCCCTTGCCCTCTGCTCTCCCCTCACCCCAACTTAAGCACACGTGTGTGGGCTCTCTCTCAAATAAGTAAATAAAGCTTTAAAAAAAATACTGGTCTGATCACACAACATACTCTGCGTGATTCAGTCTTTTTAAATTTATTGGAACTTGTTTTATGGTTCATCCATATGTTCTGTCTTAAAGAATGTTCCTTGTACATGTGAGAAGAACTTCTGTTTTGTTGTGTTAGGTAGTGTTCTGTAAATGTCAATTAGGTTAAGTTGATGGATTGTCTAAAAATATTCTGTATTCTTTCTGATTTCTTAATGGAGTTGCTATTTTTACCTTTAGTTTTGTAATTTTTCCATGTATTTTGAACTTTATTAGGTGCAGACACATTTAGGATTGTTATGTGTTTGTGATGAATTTGTCCTTTTATCGTTATCAGATGCTCTTTATCTCTGGTAATTCTCTGTCTTGAAGTCAGCTTGGTTTGAGATTAATATAGCTACACTGTCTTTTTTTCACAAAGGGGCTTGCATTATATGTCTTTTTCTATATGATTAAATTGGATAATATTTCTTATAGACAGCATAGAGTTGACTCTATTTATTTATTTTTAAAAAAGATTTTATTTATTTATTTGACAGAGAGATCACAAGTGGGCAGAGAGGGAAGCAGAGAGAGAGAGGGGGAAGCAGGTTCCCCACTAAGCAGAGAGCCTGATGCGGGACTCCATTCCAGGACTCTGGGATCCTGACCTGATCGGAAGGCAGAGGCTTTAACCCACTGAGCCACTCAGGCGCCCCCTGGAGTTGAATCTTTTTAATAAGAAATTTAGTTTTGGGCGCCTGGGTGGCTCAGTGGGTTAAGCCGCTGCCTTCGGCTCAGGTCATGATCTCAGGGTCCTGGGATCGAGTCCCACATCGGGCTCTCTGCTCAGCAGGGAGCCTGCTTCCCTCCCTCTTTCTGCCTGCCTCTCTACTTGTGATCTCTCTCTGTCAAATAAATAAATAAAATCTTAAAAAAAAAATTATAAAAAAAAAATAAGAAATTTAGTTTTGTAATCTTTGCTTTCTAGTTGGGGCATGTCGTGTACCTTTATACTTAATGTAATTATTATAGGTTTATTGTTAAGTCTTTGATCTTAGTGTTAGTTTTGTATTTCTTCTGTATATTTTTTATTCTTTTACTCCTTTCCTTTCTTTGGATTACTTGACTATTTTTTAGTATTCCATTTTATCTCTTCTGTTGACTTCATGTCTCTTTCTGTGCTCTTCTCTTTGCTTTAGTGATTGCTCTGAGATTACACGTCGGTATTTATCACAGTCTTCATTTAAAAATACTTAACTGCTTCAGGAACACTTTAAGAAATTCAGTGTACTTCCAGTTACCCTCTTCTGCCTGATATAGTGTTACATATTTTAATTCTGTGTAGGCTGTAAACTCTACAGTACATTGGTATTTCTTCTTCAAACCCTCCACACGTGCACGCCTCCCCCTTTTCGGCCCTTAAGTTATTGGTATATTTACCTTCCTGGGTCTTTTTATTTCATTCTGCAGAACCAGGTTTCTGTTTTCTTTCTGCTTTTCTCTTCTGCTGAAAGCAATATTTTTTTTACATTGTAGTACCAATCTAATGGAGGTAAATTTTCTTAGTTTTTGTCTTTCTTTTAAATTTAAATTCAGTTAATTAACATACAAGTATTACTGGTTTCAGAGGTAGAGGTAAGTGATTCATCAGTCTTCTGTAATACCTAATGCTCATTACATCACGTGCCCTCCTTCACCCAGTTACCCCATCTCCCCACCCATCTCTCCTCCAGCAACCCTCAGTTTGTTTCCTTTAGTTA